GTAGTAAAACAGTAAGATATGTCGAAAATGCTGCTTATCGCTCTCCATATTTAAAAGGGCACCAACCAAAAACTACTGCGTAGAATTAATTGGAATTTTTCACACACAAGCCTTGCTATATGAGCTCTCAAAGCATATAAAGTTATACGGCTTAAATGTGAAGTTGGGTGCAAAAGAATACAATTAAATCCTCTGTCGGGAAAAAACGAAATGACTTTCCGAACAACCCTATACAAAGCGGCAATGTTGAAGTATTCCAGTTGGAAGAAGTGACCGGGTCCAAATGTTTTTATTCGAGTGTAAAGTTGGCTGCCTATGCATATGTTCTAATCATATGTAATAACCATCAGAAGTATAACTGGCTGCATTAATAAAGTTGAAATCCCTAAACTGAATTTAGATTTTTAACCTTTCTTAACTAAAAATTTTAAATATAAAACACAAATGGGGGATGATGTCTGGAAATTCAAAGCGTTTGGAAATGTAAAGTCCATATTATTGAATAAATTCATCAAATGTTTCTTCTAATGTATCGTTACCTGTCACCATAATTCTTTTGTACAAAACACCTTGTATATAAATATCTAAGTTAAAATACCTACGCAGTATTATATAACATTTTGCATGTTTATATATTGTTCGCAACCAATTCCTGCTTGACTTTAGTAATTAAATGTTTTTATCATCAAATATTTTGTAGTTTTTTGTTTGCAGTTAGGTGTTCTTGTAGCAGGAATATAAATGGTCGTTTTTAATACAAATTCGATCGGCTATCCCGTCCAACCTTCGGCATCTGTCCGCCGAGTTAAAAATGTGGGGAAGTACCGAACAAGGGATTTGATTAAAACATTCCATAAATTTTCCAACTTGAATCCCTGTTGTACGCCAATGTACTACACACACACAAACGTACACACATATATGTATATAGGTATGCGTTAGTATGTTTGTGTTAGTGTGTATGCTAGACGCGGTTATTTTTGAATTCTGCGAACATTTTAATCTCGGATGTTGAAAGTATTTTGTTGAAAGAGAAACAAATATTGCTTTAGGGTCTCTGTGGTCATTTTCACATTTTTAGAGAAAATTCAGGACCAGTTTGGAACGTTAATTTAATTTATTTAAGCGGATTATAAAGGAAAATATATTACATAAAAAAAATTGAAAATTTACACGTTTGAAGTAAATAAGTAGCAGTAGTTTCAAAGTTTCGTATACTGACCTTTGCAAATAGTATCTTTGAACCTTGAATATGAGCATTGTTTTCAGAATAATTTGTTTTTCAGAAAACAAGATGGACGTCATCCGCCATCTTGTGTATTATGTCACGTCACTTAACCTAACTGCACTTCAGTATTCCGTTTCTTTCAGAAATAGACAACCAATGTAAGAAATTTATATTTTTTGTTGTAAAAAGAAAAGTTGTTCAGAAAAAACGAAAGGTTTATCCATTAGTATCTATAGTTAATGGATTTCTAATAATGAATCGCTTCCAGTTGAAAATGCAGAACGGGAGTTTCAGCGTAAAATAATTTAAAATTAATCCCGAACAATCGTGAAAAGCAATATCCATTCCCGGATAATCTTTAAATCCTCGCCTCCATGTGGCTCGGAACCTATTCACACTGTTCATGCATTGCCCATTATTTTATCAGGGTAACATGTTCCTTTGATCCCCTCATGACGGCCGAGGTGATAAATTTAATCGTTAAGTCACTACAACAGGACTTAAGTTGAGTTACAGAACTGCCAACAGCTCTACACGTCAACCTGCTAGCTATTGCAGGTATCACAGACTGAAATTAAATCCTGGTGGCTTATCAACTATGTGAATGTACGGGGCATGTTTTGATAGTATCAGTATAAAAGCTTCAATATAGTAATTTCATGCGGGAATAAGCATGCCAAGTTCTCTAAAGGATTACAGCCAATAAAAACAATCGTATCCTAAAAGAATGCCAAGTTCGTTTGCCTTTTTCCCTTGTGTTAAACAAGAAAAGTAGATCCTATTCAACGTTAAGCATAAAATAAAGATGTAAAGTAATTTTGAACTTGGTAAAATTTTCATTTTAATTAAGCTGAGTTAATAGTGCCAAGTTCAAACGTAAAAGCAATTTTAATGTCAGACGTTCTTTATTTTAAGGAAGCTAGTTTGCAGTATGCAAGTAATTGAGCTGTCAAGTTCAAATGTAAACTAATATTGTTAATGATTTTGAACTTGGCAAATTGTTAAAAAAAGGAAGATACAGCTTACAATTTCACAGTAAATTAACATTTTTAAATACAGAAGAATTTTTAACGAAGGTTAAAGAAACTTGCCAAGTTCAAACAAACAAAACATACAGTAAGCTACTTTTTATTTGGAATGAGTGTATGTATTAGGTTGGTACCTACACGTGAAGGCTTTTGATTGTGTTTCAATACTCTTTAATCGCTACTGTCATAGAAATATACGTATTTTAAAATCCAGAATTATTTTTAATATGTAACTGAGAAAGAAAACCTTTTTCAATTTGGTAAAGGCTTTCTGACTTTCTTTTTACGAGAATCAGAACAGAAAATATTTTTCAAATGTTAATTACTTAATTAATTTCATGTTCGGCCCTATTTATCGTTATTATCTCTATATATATACACAAAACCAAAATTTAAGTCTATCGCTGTATTTCCAAGTTCACAAGTTTCTTTAGTGCATGACGATCCAAATATTCTAGGAAGCATTTGACAATGGGACTTACGTATTAACTTTTCCGATAAAAATTACTCCTAAAACGACGACGTCATGCGACAGTAGAATTCTAAAGGGTAGAGCCGTTCTACATATAATATAAAGTTGGTAATAACAATAAACTGATAACATTGTTTTGTGGTAATCAAATTTCAGCTACATTATCATGAATAGATAGGAAGGAAGAGAAAAGATGCGTTTCCAACCAGTTTTTGGATTGAGGACCTTGTGATGATGATGCCACCTTTAACAACAAATATTTGACCGCTAGAATTTGACGGGCGTCATACGTCACCTAAAATTTTTGACGTAACTGTAATGTGTTGTAAAAAAGTCATTTTTTAGTTTTAGAATCCTTTTCTTTTTTAGTAGTCTTGTATATGTACATTAAAAATTATTATTAAAAGAAAACATGGACACATTGATGAACTTTTACAATTTGTTACAAGCCCGGTTTTTCGGACCATTCAAAAGCGGCGGCGAGGTCGTTATAGTGGTGCACGGTGGTGCGGGCAACACCCCAGACGAACGGATTCCCGCTAAACTGAAAGGGGTAAAAAAAGCCGCCTTAGAAGGCTACGACGTTCTAAGGTGTGGAGGTACTGTGGTTGATGCTGTAGAAGCGGCGGTGAAGTATTTGGAAAATGATGAACATTTTAATGCAGGTTTGATAACTATTTCTGGCCTGAGGGGTTGAAATTTTATAGATAGTTTTTAAAATGCATCCTTTCTGTTCTTGATTCGTAAGGAAAGGGGTCTGTTTTAAATGCCAACGGAGAAGTTGAGATGGACGCGAGTATAATGTCAGGAAATTGTATAGAACCGGGAACAGTTACTGTAGTAAAGGGTATTAAAAATCCTGTCAGGTATGTATCTAAGCCTATTTCTTTATCTGAAATAATTTCGACGGATCTATCTGTTGCTGTTGTCACCTGTCGTTGTTTAATGATCAGAGCGTCGGTGCGTAAAGCCAACGATCCCGGGTTCGTTTCCCGGCGAGGGTATAACAGCAGCAACAATTTTTTCCTAATTAATAAAAATGAATTTTCACGTTAATATTCAATAGAATTTTACATTTTATACCAAGATGAAGTATAATGTGTGTTAGCCCTTATGCGGGTGTTTTTTTATATGTTTTCAGCTTAGCGCGTCGAGTATTGGATAAAACTCCTCATATAAAATTAGCTGGGGAAGGAGCTCACGTTTTTGCAAAAAATGAAGGAATTAAAATCGTAGACCCGGGAGCGTTAGTCACCGGTTACGCACAAGAATTATTGGAATTACATAAAAAAGGAGAACTTTCTGACTGTGGAAAGGTATTAAAGACATTAAGTGATTATTAATTTTATACGTAGTCGAGGTGACGAAAGCCGAAACTATTTGAAACTTATAAAATACTACAAATGGCGCAGTAAACGCCATCTGTAGCACGATGCTACATTTTACGTAATACATATGCTACATTTTACGTAAGCATACGTAATCCTAAAATGTAGCATCGTGCTACAGATGGCGTTTACTGCGCCATTTTTAGTATTTTTTAAAACGCACTGTTAAGACAGCAGGTAAAAGTTGGTCTGTGTTCTGTCGTAGCTGCCTGCGACGCGCTGATGAGATCCAAAAAGATGGAAATCGCGATCAGCGTCTGGCAGTTTCGACACAATACAGACCACTTCGAATTATTTTATTTGAAACTTGTTTAAAGTTTCTAATATTCAATTGTAACGACTTGGTAGATTGCCAATACATTCCAACATTCTTTTAATTAACTTAATTGTTAGAGTGATGAACCGGACACAGTAGGGGCGGTTGCAGTGGACTGTAGAGGGCATGTTGCTGCAGCAGCATCCACCGGGGGATGTACCGGTAAATTGGCGGGAAGATGCAGTTCGTCAACCACAGCCAGTGGCGTGTACGCAGATGACAACGCGGGAGCTGTCGCGTGTACAGGTAATATTGAAAGACAACAAATTGTAGCTATTCGTAAAAACAGACGTTTTCACATTAAGAAACTCTTGGTGCTGACATATAATCCTTTTGTGTTTCGAATACCCAAAAAGATGTAACGTCTTCAGGTTTCTGTGTTAGGCCAATTACAAAAATAACACAAGAAACCTGAAGATTATACGTTATTTATCTGCTTACTAATATTATTATAATGAAGGCTAATAAGATTGTTTGTATGACTATACTATAAAAGGAATATCGTTTTTTAAGGTCATGGAGAAAGTATAATAAAATTTTGTCTGGCTCACAACATTATTCAAGAAATGGAGAATGGAAAGACGGCTGAAGCAGCGACGAAACAGTCTTTAGTGAAAATGCATGCTAAATTAAAAACTAGGGGTGGTAAGTAGTGTAAAAATATTCCAGAAATAGAAAATAATTTTGTAATTCTATTCTTTATAATATTTTAAGACATATTTCCCTTTTCCATTTTTTATTACAAGGAGTAGTTACCGAGGAGCAAGCACTTAAAGATTCACTAAATGCAGCGCTCCCATTGTACCTATACTGCTACTAGCAGTCGCGACAACTAGGGGCGCGCCTACTTCTGTTATTGCAGCGAACACTGCAAGCTCTAATTGAGTGATTATTTTAATGTAATCGCCCATAGTAAGACTCGAATGATATCTGGATCCCGTTTCTTCTTGGCATATGTTAGTGATAGACATCGAGCGCGTCTTCTACTTATGCTGCTAGTAGCAGTAGGCGATAACTAGGTGCGCCTACTTCTGCTATTGCAGCGAACACTGCAAGCTCTAATTGAGTGATTATTTTGATGTAATCGCCCATTGTAAAAGACTCGAATGACATTGGATATCTAAATACTGTTTCTCTTTGAAATATGTTAGTTACAGATACAGACTGCGTCTTCTACTTGTGCTGCTAATAGCAGTAAGCGATAACTAGGCGCGCGCCTACTTCTGTTATTGCAGCGAACACTGCAAGTTCTAATTGAGTGATTATTTTAATGTAATCGCCCATTGTAAAAGCCTCGAATGACATTGAATATCTAGATACTGTTTCTCTTTGGAATATGTTAGTTACAGATACAGAGTGTGTCTTCTACTTGTGCTGCTAGTAGCAGTAGGCGATAATTAGGCGCGCGCCTACTTCTGTTATTACAGCGAACACTGCAATCTCCAATTGAGTGATTACTTTAATGTAATTACCCATAGTTCCTTTTTGGCATATGTTAGTGATAGGTTCAGAGCGCATTTTCTACTTTTACTGCCAGGAGAAGTAGGCGATAGTTAGGCGCACGCTTAATTCTATAACTGCAGCAAATATTGTGCGCTCAAACTGGGCGATTGTATCACTTTTTAATTGCCCATTGCAAAGGAATCGAATGACATTGGGTATATACATACTGTTCCTTTCTGGAATATGCTACTGATATTGAGCGCATCATGTACCTACGGTAACAGTAAGCGATAAATGGGGTGCGTCCAGATCTGTTATTGCAGCGAACATTGCACCCTCCAATTGGATGATTGTTTCAGCTTTTAATCGCCCATTGCAAAGACTCGGATGAAATTAGATATCTGGATATTGTGTCTTTCTGGAATATGTTAGTGAAAAGTAGAAAATGCGTCTTCTAGTGATGCTGCTAGTAGCAGTAGGCGATTGTTAAGCGAGCGCCTAGTTTTGTAATTTCAGGGTGATCGTTTTAATTTTTCATCCCCCATTGCAAAAGAATCGAAAGACATTTGATATCTGGATGCTGTTTCTTTCTGGGGATGTTCTTAATTATAAATCATAAATTAGATTGGGTATTTCTGTGAAACAATTTGGATACTTTTTTTTAAGGTGCAACTGCAATTTCGACCCGCGGCGATGTTGGCATATTCTTTTCCACACCCAAAATGGTATGGGCGTATGTCAAAGGGGGTCGTCTACATTATGGAGTCAAGCCTGGTCAACACGAAATCATATGCTTTGAAAAGGCCAAATGAACATTATTGCAACGGAATAAATAGTTAATTAATATCTTATAATATGTAACTAAATAATGCAATTCATTCAGTTGTAACAAAGCCGAAAAAGAGAATTATAGTGTCTCAAAGGAGTTTTTATTTTCTTTTTCATTTACTACATTTAGTGTAAATGCCTCATGGAATCATACAAATAACAATAATAAGATCAGAAATAAAGGTCTAAAAAACATCATCAATAATAAAGGACAGAAAACACAACGGTCCATTGCGCGGTGTGCGACTGCGCAAAATCTCCTTGGTTACGTGTCACTATGGATGCGCACTGCTTTATTGCGCAGCGGACCGCTGAGTATATTAAGCAAGCCATGGTAATTTCTAATTTCCTGAAGGTTAGTATATAAAATAAAGTTTCTTAATAGGCATGCACATTGAACAAAAAACTATGGAGAGTTGAACTATTGTCTACACTACGTTGAATTGAACGGGTCTATCTAGTTAATGCGTATTATATTATCATTTTTCGAATAGAAAGCTTAACTTTTTGTAAATGTGGCAATTAAGAAAAGGGTTGTTGACTTTCAATGAAAATCGTGATAAATGCAGTAGGTAGATTTCTAAAAGACAAAAGTGGAGGAGACATTTCTTCATTTAATTAATAAACGTACTGAATGCTTGGTGCAGACTTATGTGTATGATTTTCCGGCGTATAATGAAATGCAGAAATAATGATGCCAAACAAAGCAGATTTTAGAGGTATCCTTACCTTTTAATACAAAAAAACTGTTTGAAAAGAAATTAAAACCAAAAAGGTTTAAGAAACTCTTAGATTATTTGTCTGATCGTCATTATTCTACAATGTTATATATAAAAAAGAATTTATTTACTCTAACAATAGNAGAATAACAATAATTTAACTATATAATTAATGAATAATTTAATAATATAATATTAGCCTCCCTGATTATATAATCGAGGAAGGTAGACCATAAGCCGCTTCGCCACCCTGCATTCTTTGTTTTTTCTAACAATAATAGCGATTTTGTCTAATTCAGAATAACAATAATTTAACTATATAATTAATGAATAATTTAATAATATAATATTAGCCTCCCTGATTATATAATCGAGGAAGGTAGACCATAAGCCGCTTCGCCACCCTGCATTCTTTGTTTTTTCTAACAATAATAGCGATTTTGTCTAATTCAGAATAACAATAATTTAACTATATAATTAATGAATAATTTAATAATATAATATTAGCCTCCCTGATTATATAATCGAGGAAGGTAGACCATAAGCCGCTTCGCCACCCTGCATTCTTTGTTTTTTCTAACAATAATAGCGATTTTGTCTAATTCAGAATAACAATAATTTAACTATATAATTAATGAATAATTTAATAATATAATATTAGCCTCCCTGATTATATAATCGAGGAAGGTAGACCATAAGCCGCTTCGCCACCCTGCATTCTTTGTTTTTTCTAACAATAATAGCGATTTTGTCTAATTCAGAATAACAATAATTTAACTATATAATTAATGAATAATTTAATAATATAATATTAGCCTCCCTGATTATATAATCGAGGAAGGTAGACCATAAGCCGCTTCGCCACCCTGCATTCTTTGTTTTTTCTAACAATAATAGCGATTTTGTCTAATTCAGAATAACAATAATTTAACTATATAATTAATGAATAATTTAATAATATAATATTAGCCTCCCTGATTATATAATCGAGGAAGGTAGACCATAAGCCGCTTCGCCACCCTGCATTCTTTGTTTTTTCTAACAATAATAGCGATTTTGTCTAATTCAGAATAACAATAATTTAACTATATAATTAATGAATAATTTAATAATATAATATTAGCCTCCCTGATTATATAATCGAGGAAGGTAGACCATAAGCCGCTTCGCCACCCTGCATTCTTTGTTTTTTCTAACAATAATAGCGATTTTGTCTAATTCAGAATAACAATAATTTAACTATATAATTAATGAATAATTTAATAATATAATATTAGCCTCCCTGATTATATAATCGAGGAAGGTAGACCATAAGCCGCTTCGCCACCCTGCATTCTTTGTTTTTTCTAACAATAATAGCGATTTTGTCTAATTCAGAATAACAATAATTTAACTATATAATTAATGAATAATTTAATAATATAATATTAGCCTCCCTGATTATATAATCGAGGAAGGTAGACCATAAGCCGCTTCGCCACCCTGCATTCTTTGTTTTTTCTAACAATAATAGCGATTTTGTCTAATTCAGAATAACAATAATTTAACTATATAATTAATGAATAATTTAATAATATAATATTAGCCTCCCTGATTATATAATCGAGGAAGGTAGACCATAAGCCGCTTCGCCACCCTGCATTCTTTGTTTTTTCTAACAATAATAGCGATTTTGTCTAATTCAGAATAACAATAATTTAACTATATAATTAATGAATAATTTAATAATATAATATTAGCCTCCCTGATTATATAATCGAGGAAGGTAGACCATAAGCCGCTTCGCCACCCTGCATTCTTTGTTTTTTCTAACAATAATAGCGATTTTGTCTAATTCAGAATAACAATAATTTAACTATATAATTAATGAATAATTTAATAATATAATATTAGCCTCCCTGATTATATAATCGAGGAAGGTAGACCATAAGCCGCTTCGCCACCCTGCATTCTTTGTTTTTTCTAACAATAATAGCGATTTTGTCTAATTCAGAATAACAATAATTTAACTATATAATTAATGAATAATTTAATAATATAATATTAGCCTCCCTGATTATATAATCGAGGAAGGTAGACCATAAGCCGCTTCGCCACCCTGCATTCTTTGTTTTTTCTAACAATAATAGCGATTTTGTCTAATTCAGAATAACAATAATTTAACTATATAATTAATGAATAATTTAATAATATAATATTAGCCTCCCTGATTATATAATCGAGGAAGGTAGACCATAAGCCGCTTCGCCACCCTGCATTCTTTGTTTTTTCTAACAATAATAGCGATTTTGTCTAATTCAGAATAACAATAATTTAACTATATAATTAATGAATAATTTAATAATATAATATTAGCCTCCCTGATTATATAATAGAGGAACGTTGACGGCAAACCGCCTCACCACCTTGCATTCTTTGTTTTCCGTGATTTTGGATTCGACTCTCCGATTATAATTGATTTCGCCATTTAAGCGATCCCTAATTAATTTACTATCCCGGTAGCTAGCAGTTTTCAATAAATAATTTAGATGTATCAACTTTATACCATTGATTCAAATAAAAATTTATTGATACTATCTGTTAATAGATAAAAAAATAAAAAAATTCAATAACTTTTACTGCATCAGACAGGTACCTAGTTAATAAAACTCTATTGAATTTTTGTAAAACTTTTTTTAAGTTGATAAATTAGCCTGGTTATTAAGAAGTAGATTATCATTTTGAATGTGCCCGAGTTTCAGTTTAATACCATTAAGGGTTGTCTTCAAAAGGGAACCATTAGCTTACTTATTAAAAAAAAAAAAGAAATATGATATTCCACGAAATCCGATGCTGGTACGTCTGTTTTCTCGTTTCTTCCTTTTTTTAAATGCAATGAGCAAAAATTTCTCTTTTATTCCTTCTTCTTCTTCTGGTCTCTCCCGTCTCACCTCCTCGTCCCGCTGCTACTTCTTTCCTTCTCCTTCAATAGTCAACGTACACGGCATAAATCCGCTAGAGTTTTTAACTCGCTTAATTATTAACGGGAAACTCCATTACAGCTTAGCATCTACTTTTACATAATTTAATACGCAACGAGATGGCAGGCGGCTTTGACGAATAAACCGAGACAGAAATGGAGGAACTTTTATCGAAAATGCATAACGTTTTACATAAATCGAGATATGAAGCTCGATCCAGATTAAAATTTATATCGGCAAAGTCTCCCGGAGGTCTTGACGTTAACAAAACACGTAACAGATGTATTGAAGGAATTGTATTGATGGGAGTGACGAGTTCAAGGCGAGCCATAAAGGAGTCTATAAAATGTACTGTCTGTTACATATCTACAAAGTGAAATGGTAAATACATAGACACTTAAGTGACAGGCGTGATGATTTTAAGGTGAGTTGTCGGCAAACCCAGAAAAATTTGTAAAAAATAATATGCTTTCTGTTAATTCAAAAGACTCGTTATTGACAGGCGTGATGAGTTCACTGTGAGTTGCTCGCAAATGAAAAAAGAGCGTATGAAGTATGCTGTACGTTACACTTTTACAAATCGAGGTAGTATCCACCAAGAATATAATAAACACACGAAAATATACGTATATTGGCAAACGTGGCATGTTTAAGGCGAGTTATCCGCGAGCAGCACAAGAGTCTATAAAATATGTTTTCTGTTACACTTGTATCCAGTGATCCAGTGATCCAGTGAGATAGTAACCAAAAACATAATAAATGCAGTTAATGACTCTTTATTGACAGGCGTGATGACTTCATGGCGAGTTCTTAGTGAAAAACAAAAGAATCCATAAAATATTCTGTCTGCTACACGTCTACGAAATGAGATGGTAACAGAAATACACTATTAAAAACTGATTATTGACAGGTGTGGTGGATGAGTTATTCGCGGAAGAGAAAAGAGTGTATGAAGCCTGATGCCTAACACAGCTTTACAAATTGAGATAGTAACAAAAACTATACTATACATATACACTAAAATAGTTCTATATTGGCAAAAAACTCGGTGTTAAGGCGAGTTATTCACGAGCCGCAAAGGAGTTTATAAAATATGCTGCCTAAAATGACTCTTTATTGACATGCTTGATGATTTTAAGGCGAGTCAAAATTGAGCATATTATGTAGGTAATCTGCCTGTGACACATATACAAATCCAGCAATAAAGAATATAATAAATGTACTTTAAAGACTCTTTATTGACAGTCTTGATGATTTCTAGACTCATGTTGAAGGCGAGTTAAAAAAGAGTGTAGAAAGTTTGGAATCTGTTATATTTGCAAACTTTGTCGTAAATTACAACTTGTCAATTAACTAACTTGTCTTGACAAAATTAGGTATGTATGTCCTTGTCGGACTAGGTATCATTATTGACAGGT